AGGGGCCAACTACTTTATTTAAGTGGACGACAGAAGAGGTTGAGCATCGGGCACTTCAACCAGCTGTATTACAATGACATTACTGCGAGAGTGGATTCACTATATTGGCTTTTACCATGTTTATCTTGCACGATATGTTGATTCGCCTGAAACCTCCTGTCTAACCATAACTAGGCTCTTCGTGAATCAACTACCAACTACTCGTTGGCCCATTCTCATATCAATATTCCACGTAATCTTTCTTGGGTTATTTTCTTGTGTTAACTTACGTCCCGCACTGGCTCCTTATCTACCAATAACATCTTGGGAGGAGCCCTTACTTCCTTTCTTTGACGTCGTATTTGCATAATGTTCTTGAATCATAGCGTATACGTAGGAGCTGAATAAGTGTAATCTTATTCCTTTCCCATTTTTATCGCATTTCTTCCTTTACCATTCTATAATCACTAAAATCACTTAATTCTGACTTAATGACACATTACTCCATATTCCCCCCTTTTTGGGGAGTACTAAGAGATGGAGCTACGACGACCTACCTATAGATGTTTTACCCCTTCATCTTTGGCATCCTTTCACATCATCAATGACCCTTACTCGCCTTGCGGTATTCCTTCTGTGCCAAGGATAACAAAATTCCTTACTCACGATGGTGACACTTAGTGTAACTGGCACATACAGTCCCTTAAGCTTTACTTTGCTCACATTGTTTTCTTTAGGGAAGCGTCTTCCTAAATGACAATACTCCGAATTTCTCATGAATCTTCTTCTGTTGTCCATTCTATTATCACCGGAACGCAATCTGAAATTCTCATGATGCTGACTATTATCAAATCACTCAGTCCCTTATTCATGTTTAGTTTATCTTGTTCACCACCGCATACTGATTTTTATTACTCTTGGGTTTATTTTCCCCTTCTGGTAGTTGCGTTGGAGTCACGAACTTATTTCTCGAAACGAGGATATGACTTTATGGCCTATACTCTTTTGTTGTCTCAAGGCCTGGCTCCTCTCGTCTTTTCCTTCACTTGACTATATACTCTGTTATATCTTTTTTATCTACCGTTGTCATGTATCATATTTTACTCATAATGTTTCATTTACTCTCTTCTTATTTTCCTGTTATCATTTCTGTCTCTCACGTTATTTTGAAAATTGCAACAAGCTATTCTTTTGCTTTTAACTCTCCTTTGCTCCATCCACTGGCTCTTTGGATTGCCTAATAATCTCTCTCTACGACAGGACACACTAACATAATATTTATCCCCTCTAGGCTTTCAGTGCTCATCTTCGTAGTACTCATATCTAGCTTTACTATTTTAGAGTACACCATTTGGGAGCCATACTAAGATAATATGATAACAGTAAGTCGGGAATCCAAACTAGAGTAAGAATTTAAGAAGTAAATGCGGAAGCAATAACAATAAGAAATTTAACGACTAGAATTAAAGTGCAGAAAATAAAGGATATGGGAAAATTCAGGGAAAGAATTCCGAGAACTTCCAAGAACGCAAGTTCTATAGCCTTGACAAGATCCAAGCAACAATATTTTGATTTATTGAAGAAATCAAACGCCTTTACTTAAGAACAAATCAAAAACAATAGATTCGGATCTTGACCGCTTTGCGAGTAACTTGAGACAACAATTAATAACTAGTATTAATCGCCTTCTAAGAAATTCACCACAAAGGAATTAATGATATCACAATAAAGAAGTTATTTTACTACCTTGAACTATGAACTAGTAAAGGTTGAAGGATAAATCTCAAAGCATAAGTAACAAAGGTTCAAAAGAACTCTCAAAGTATAATATTATTAATCAATAATGAAGTACCACAATGAATGAAAAGAACTACTATTTATAGGAGTAAAAAGTCCTTAAAACTAGGTAGGGTGGCTGCCAAGGCAAATCCTAACTTGGAAGCTAAGCTAAATACTAGAAAACCTAATAAAACTAATAAAATAAGAGGGTGGGAGGCCAAATCCCTTTGGGGCAGATTTGGGCCTTAAAACTACTAGTTTGGGCCATTGGTTTGGACTCCAATTGGGCTCCTTTTGAAACACCCCCTTTTGGACCTCTTTAAGCTCATTTTAAGCTCTTCTAGATGCCTTTTGGTGGACTTCATGGGCTGATGTTGGGACCCAATCTTCCTCCTCTTGGACTTCAATTTGGGCCACCAAATAATTGTAAAACTTGGACAATTCGTCTCCTTTAAGCTTGAGCTCTTCCTCTACAATTAAAAGCTTCTTTATTTGCCATTGAAGTCCAGCAACCTTAGTGTGCAATTCTTTAGCTTGAGATCTTGTAAATGACCTTCTTGGAGCTTCCAAAACCCTATCATTGTCCTTGATGCTATCACATAAAGCGTATTACATCATGAACTATCACATCTCACGTTTTCATACGTTAATGTTTCGCCTTCAGTTAATCGACGTAGACTCGGGAATGAGATTATTTTGAGGTTACACGCGTTAGTGTTCTTCCTCGATTAATGTTTATCATAGTAAATTCAAGGGGTCTAACTAGTTCATAGTTAGGTTCTTGTCTTTTTTATTTTAAACCCTAATCTTCTATCTTTTTGAGTCCGTATATTTTTGCATTATCCATGTTTTCGCTACGATTCCGTATCATCTTGGTATCAGAGCGGAGGTTTTAGATTGTTCTTGGGTCTTTGTTTTGAATTTTAATTATCAACAAATCAGAAAATTAAAAAAAATTCGAAAAAATAGATATCATTACTGTTCATCCATTGTTTGGGTTTCAGAAATAGAAAATAGTATTTCCTTGTTCTTCTTTGTTTTTTTCCAAAATAGAAAATTCGAAAATTTGCTCCATCTCCGTCGATTTTGATTCTGAAACTTCTGACTTACTTCATTACCTGAGATTGAATCACTGAGTTGAGCTGAATTTCGAAGTTTGGGTTGAGATTTGAACCCTAAACCGACGAGCAGTGCTACCAGATTTGGAGGTTTTGCTCTTAATAAAAAAAAATTCGAGTTCGAATTCGATTGTGGTGTGTTCAAATCCTGTTGATACAGCTTGATTGAGGTGAAAATCTGAAGATTGAGATTGTTTGGAGCTGAATCGCTGGGGTTTTTGGTTCGAAATTTTGAACCGATTGTGCGAAGAAGAAGACGACCTAGGGTTTGTCGATTTTGTGAATGTTTGTTCAAATTAGTCACTGGGGTTTACTCGGATTGTTTTGTGGAAGTTGAATCCAAAGGTTGAGTTCGTTTGGTGAAGATTTGGGCGAGATTTGATTGAAAATTTCTTGAATCAGTCGAAGAACTAATTGCTGTGTTCTTCAAATTCTGGGATTGAGTTCTAGCCTACGCGACGTCCCTACACATAGATGCGTAGCTGATTTCAGCAGCTCTTCATTGAGATTGCACAGGTTTGATTTCTGAGTATTAAAACTTAGCTCGACTTCTGAATTCAAAGCTCAAACTTCATCGCTATTCTTTGGAATTGATTAAGTTGAGTTCATAAGTCGACTCGAGCTTCTTGTTGATTATTGCTTGAGTTTGAATTCTGAGCCGAGCTCTTCAACTGTCCGGACTGATCGACTCGATTCGAGCAGCTGAGATATCGTCGCAACGAATCAGGTTCGATTCCTTGAGTTCAAACTGAAATTTGTCTCTAAAGTTGTAGTGAAATATGAGTTCGATCATAGACTGCTTTTTGAGGATATGTTGAAGAACTTGTGACTGCAGTTTGGGACTGTCCTCGAATTCATTTTTTGTTAGTCGATAGTAGCTGTTGGCGACACGAAATTGGGATGCTCTTCTGAATTTGTATGAACTGAGTTTTATCATTGTTCCCCCTGCTTAGAACTGAAATACGAGTTGCATTTTGATTCCTTGAGTTCAAACTGAAATTTGTCTCTAAAGTTGTAGTGAAATATGAGTTCGATCAGAGACTGCTTTTTGAGGATATGTTGAAGAACTTGTGACTGCAGTTTGGGACTGTCCTCGAATTCATTTTTTGTTAGTCGATAGTAGTTGTTGGCGACACGAAATTGGGATGCTCTTCTGAATTTGTATGAATTGAGTTTTATCATTGTTCCCCCTGTTTAGAACTGAAATACGAGTTGCATTTTGATGGTTTTCTACTGCTGACGAAGTCCTAATTCATTGTTGCTGCATTAGAGTCGATTGGCATTTGATTTCTGAGTATTGAGCTGAAGTTTGTTATTGTGATTGAACTGCAAACTATCATAGCTGCCTGCTATCAAGTTCTTGTTTGGCTGCAAGTTTGAAAATTAGTTTCTGCAATTTTTAAACCCCTTGGTACACTGTAGAACCAGCCTAGAAATAACTTCAGGACCTACAGAAATTGAGCATAGTATTTGCAGCAGTCGAATAACAATGTTTGCACCAGTCATTTGCTCGAAATTGTGTTGAACTTGCCGACTGTTTTTTCACTGGTTGAGACTCATTCTTGAGCTTGAAGAATCAGCATTGCGGCTGAAGTTTGGTGTGGCTGTGAAAGGTTACGTTGTTTTACTGCAGTTTCTGTCCAGTTTATGCACAGTTTTAGCTTGGAATCTGCGCTCTTTCTGCACTATTGAGCTGATGTTTCTGCACAAGTTTTAGCTCCAGTTTTTCTACAGATTGATACAAGTGCACCTGCAATTTTAGACGGATTTCTGCACTGCCAAAACTGCACTACTCAAGCTGCAATTTCTGCACTTTACAGTTAGTTCTGCACCAGTTAAAAAGCTCAGGTTTGGGCAGTTTGTGTGTGAGAGTTGCTTGGTCTATTCTTGAGAAGTCTGCATAGTTTAAGCTGGTGTTTGGCCATAGATCCCAAATTTATTTTGAAAAATTTGATTTGGGTGAAGTTTGGTTTGAAGATGAAAATGTGTTTGGACATACGTTTTCAAAACAGATTTTTCAACTTTAATTTGAAAAAACATGTATATAATTCCCAAGTTTTGGGATTTTGGCCCAAAATCAGCTCAATAGCTGATTTTGGGATTTTGGCCAAAATGTGGGCAAAATTTATGGTCAAACATGAGTTTTGAAAATAAATCCCAAATTTATTTTGGCAGAACTCATGGCCAAACGGGGCCTAAGTCTACATCTGAATGGCTGCGCCAGTTTGTGACTTTGTGTACAAGAAATCTGCTAGTACTGTGAACCTGCGCAATATTGCAAGTCTAACTATGATTACAGATTGGGCCATTCTTTGCAAATATGACCAATTTTACAAATTTGTCCTTTTTTTTGGGCGAATATGGCCAAAATTTGAAGAAGTGTCTACTTTTGTAGTTTCTTTTCATTTCTTTCTTTCCAATTTGTGGTAAACTTAAATCTCAACTAGATTAACTTGATATTAGTTCATAACTTCATATTGAGTTTATTTCTAGTTTCTTTGTGTGCTTTATTTTATTTCGTGCCATTTCTTTCCTGCTTTTCTCTTGTTTTTCGTTGTGAATTGTTTGGCTCAAGTCCGTTAGTTTTTAATTGTGCTTTCTTTGGTGTCGCATACATTCCATTCCGAACCGATACTTGATTACCTACTTGGATTGATTGGAGAACGTTGGTTATGAAGAGAACTTTTAGACACCCTTGTGTGGAAAAAGGCTTGAGTGGTGAGTTCAATTGAGCGAGGTCGCTTTTGACCTTTGAGTGAAAACACGAGTGTTGAGTGACATATGTATCTAGTGATACACTAAGGGAGTGAATTGTGAAGTCCTATTTTTGACTAACTAACTTTCTTGTTTTAAGTTTTCTTTTGTATGTACAAGGAGTCATAAGGGAGACATGGATGGTTATGTGGGTTCTTCTTATGAAACTAATTGTGCTTCTTCAAGTGTTGAAATCTTTTATGATGAAAGTGGGAGAAAGATAAATTTGAGGCATTATGTAGGGAATGTAGAAGGCTATGAGGGTTGTTTGGTTGCTATAAGTACTCACTATGCGACCAACTTTATTGCTTCTTCCTTTGTTGAATGGTTGGGATTGAGTTGTATAAATTTCGGGGTGAGTGGGTGGATAGAGGTGTGATGGTTACTATAACCAAAGGAGGCTTTAAAGAAGTGGTTTGGTGTGATGTATACCCTATGAAGTATTGCCATATACGATTGGGAAAACCTTGGTTTCTTTATCATAATCTTCCAATTGATGTAAAGTGGAATAGGTATGTGGTTGATCTAAATGGAAAGGGGAATTCCTTCATTCCTAAATACTTTGAGGATAAGTTGTTGGCAAGGCAAGATATCGGAATGGGAGTTTGGAGTGCAAATCAATTCACAAGTCCTCCTAGTCCAAGTGTAGATTATGATGCTTATACTATGCCAATCCCAGTTGTGTCTGTTGATGCTTGTTACAATACACCTTACACTTATCCACCACCCCACTACCAACACCAAAACCCCCAACCACATTTCAACCGCCACAAGTACATCAACTACAACCTTATTAAACTTCACCACAACCTAGACCACCACCAAATTTAGCTTCACAACATATGCCTCAAGCACCACCAAAGAGAGACAATCTCCCTCCTCCACTACCCATACCATCTCAAGAGCCTCGAATGATTAGCAATCCACTTTTTCAACATGATCATGAGACCACATTGAATGAGTTGGACAATATCCAACAAGTTTCTAATGGAGAATATAAGAGGGATGAAGATATGTTGGTGAGAAAGGCTTTGTCTACTTCTATGGACGAAGAAAAGGAAATACACAACGGCATAATATCTTTTACACTAGATGTTTGATTTTGGATATGATGTGCACTTTGGTAGTTGATGGAGCAAGTTGTGACAATTTGGTGAGTGCTATCTTAGTGAAAGAGTTGAAGTTGGAAAGTTTCAATCATCTTAGACCTTGTAAGTTGCAATGGTTGAATGCTTGTGGCGAACTTAAGTGAACAAAGTCGTGAAGATTCCTTTCATGATTGGGGATTACAAGGATGAAGTAATTTGTGGGGTTGTTCCATTACATGCTTGTCATATCATCCTTGGGCGACCTTGGTTGTATGATAGAGATGTTTTGCATCAAGGAAGGAAGAATCACTATTCTCTTAAGTGGAAAGGCAAGTTGGTGACACTTGAACCATTGGAACCAAGTCAAGTCTTGAAAGAGCAAATGAGTTTGAGAACACCCTTGAAAAATGCAAAGAGAAAAAGTAAGGATGAGAGACAAAAGAAAGCGAGAAGTGAGGGAAAGAAAAATGACAACTCTAGCGTGGAAAAAGGAGAGGAAGTATGGAGTGAAGTGAGTGAGTTGTCACAAGAAAAGAGTGAAGAGCTTGACAAGAAAATGAGAGAAAAGAAAGAGGAAAAACAAAAAGAGAGTGAGGATTTTTCTTATTCTAATGCTACTAATCTTTCTTCTTTGTCTAGTTGTTTTGTAACTTGTGTAGGGACTTTTGGAGAGGAGCCATCAAGTGACATTCAACCAACTTTGAAGAGCTTGAAAGAAGATCACTCTATCTTTCCAAGAGAACTTATGGAATTCATTGGAGGTAAAGAGAATACTTTAGAAGTGCTTCAAGGTAAAATAACTTATCCTTCTACTCTTGATACTTTAGTTGATTGTGGTGACACTTTGAGTTTGAAAGATAGCTATGCGATTGATGAGTTTGATATTTCTTTATCTTGTGATGAGAAAAATAATTGTGGCTTGCAACTAGCTAAGAGTTCTTGCGGATTATTGATGATTCTAGTTCTTTGTTTAATGACTCTTTAGCTAGTGATGATGTTGAGTCTTATGATAGCCCACCTTTATGGGATGATGCATGTGATGATTCTTTTGACTCACTTTAACTTTGTTGGTAGAAAGTCTTGAACTTTATGAAGAAACGAGTCAAGAAGAACGTGTTGATGAATTTTTTGATTCTATTTCCATTCCTTTGGAAGAAAGATTCAATTTTTATGATGAAATGGGCAAATTTGAATGTGGTGAATTGGTTGAGAGTAAAAAGGAAAGTAAAGTTTTTGATGCTAGCACTAGTATTAATTGCTCTACTTATCTTATTCCTACTTTTGAAAGAACATTCTCGTTAGATTTGCTAATACTTCTATGAGAAAAGGTAAGAATTTTACCTTTGGATGTTTGATTGATCATTGTGAGCAAAAAGAACCTAACTTTATTGCTTATTTTGTGAAGGTTCATCAAGGAAAAGTTGCTAAGGGTAAGGAAAGCCTTGAACTAACACTTTGGCATATTATTTGTCAAGAGCTTTTGTTACCGACCCAAATCTCTGGGCCGCAACGGGCGCCCGGTACCTTACTCAATCGAGTACCAACATACATATCTTTCTTATCGTACTCTCATTGGCAAATGGTCCAAATAAGCCGTCATGGGCTAACCAGAATAAACATAAGGGAATACTCAATATAGGACGACACAACCTGATATAAAAACTTATACATGTGACATACGGGCCTATAAGACCAACATAATCATTTTAAATTAAACATAGGCCGACAAGGCCATACAAATATCCATATACATGACATCTGTCTACAAGCTTCTAAGAGTACATAAGTATCATAAAGGTCGGGATTAAGCCCCACCATACCAATCAATACATGTCCTAATTATACTGACCAAATAAGCAACTTCGGAGCAAATGAAGCGCAGCAGCATCTTTCGCTGAGCTGATAGCCTATTTGGAAGACTCTCTGACTCTTGTGAAGCTGTGAGCTTATTACGGACCTTTTGATGTCCTTCCTTGCCTATAATTATTCGTAGTTACTTATCTCCACGCCCTTGTGCTTGTAGGGTTGCCTCTGGACTAATATTTTGACTGTCTTCCCAGTGATACTCTCTTTTATTCCCGTAACTTTCATACGGTACTTTAACTACCCCGACTCCTATCTGAGTGTATCTCAAGCCTTACAATGACATTACTGCGAGGCTGAATTCACTTTATTGGGCTTTACTATGCTTATCTTGCACGATCTACTGATTCGTCTATAACCTCCTTTCTAGCCATAACCAGGCTCTTCCTGAATCAATTGCTAACTAGTCGTTGGCCCATTCTCATATCAATATTCCGCGTAATCTTTCTTGAGTTATTTCCTTTGTCTTAACTTACCTCTCGCACTTGCTCCTTATCTATCAATAACATTTTGGGCAGGAACCCTTACTTCATCTCCTTGAAGTCATGTTTGCATAATGTTATGGAATCGTAGCATATATGTAGGCTTTGGATAAATGCAATCTCACCCCTTTTCATTTTTTTGTATTCTAACTTTACCATTCCATAATTCCTAAAACCACTTAATTCTGGCTTAATGCAACATCATTTCATATTCCCCCTTTAGGGGAGTACTAAGAGTTGGAGCTACGATGACCTACCTATACATGTTTTACCTCTTCTTCTTTGGCATCCTTTCACATCATCGATGATCCTTACTCGCCTTGCGGTAATCCTTCTATACGAAGGATAACAAAATTCCTTACTCTTGTGGGTGACACTTAGTATAACTGGCACATACAGTCCCTTAAGCTGAACTTTGCTCACATTGCTTGCTTTAGGGAAGCGTCTTCCTGAATGACCATTCTCGGAATTTCTCATGAATCTTCTTCTGTTATCTATTTTATTATCGTCGGAACAAAATATGAAATTCTCATGATGCCGACTCTTATCAATCACTCAGTTCCTAATTCATGTTTAGTTTATCTTGTTCACCAATCCATACTGGTTCTATTACTCTGGGGTCTAACTTTTCCTTTTGGTAATCGCGTTAGAGTTGCGAACTTATTTTTGAAAATGAGGACATGACTGTATGGCCTATACTCTTTTGTTGTCCTAAGGTCTGTCACCTATCGTCTCCTCCTCCACTTGACTATAGATTCTGTAATACTGTCATCTTTTGATCTACCGTTGTCATCCATGTATCTTTTCTTACTCATAATGCTTCATTAACTCTTTTCTTATTTCCCGCTAACATTTATGCCTATCACTTTATTCTGAAAACTCGAACATGACATTCTTTTGCTTTTAGCTCCCCCTTGCTCCATCCAATGGCTCTTTGGGTTGCTTAACGTACTCGCTCTACTAGGGACGCGAGCCACACTAAGGTAATATTTATCCCTTCAAGGCTTCCAGTGTCTATCTTTATAGTACTCATATCTAGCTATACTATTTTAGAGTGCGCTATTTGGGTGTCTCACAAGGAGATCTATTAGCACATTTGCAATATCCTTCGGAAATGTTAACTAATGAAAACAATCAATTTACCATTTTGGGTTACTCTAACCCCAGCCGGATCCTGATATCCCGTCCTTTTCTTAAACTACACCCTGTTAGCCCCCAATAGGGTATAACTAAGGGACTTACTATACAAGCGTGCAATTGAGAAGATTTTGTATCTAAAAGATTCCTTTTGACCGGAAATAAGAAACATGTATAGCAAAAAAGAGACAATCATCTGAACTGCATAATTATTATGCATTTATGCACATCTAAAATACAATAAATTTTATTGTTACATTGGCTTTTAAACAAAGAAACAAATTAAGCTTGCTAGTAAACACCCTCCAAATTCAGCGATAAACATTATATATTAAGGGCCAAGACAAGCTATATATGAAGAGCAGTTTCAGAGATAACTGCTAAAATAATAAAGTTACAAAATATTGCAACTTCAACGTAAACAAGACAAGCATAGATAGCAAAAAATATTGACATTCCATTCCAATAACTGCTAAAATATTGCTTATTAGACAACACTAGCAGACCGTAAAAGTTGATATACCAACATCAGTTTTAGCAAAATAAGACACAGATATTGTATCTAAAGATGTGCTCCATATAACCAACTTTCAGTGCCTATGTTTAATGGGTCTTATGTTAAAAAATGGAAAGTCAACTGTAAACTTCCGGTGAAAGATTTAGATTTTTCAGCTTGTTTTATTTTTTTGGAGATATGGGCAAAGTTTAATGATTTGATGTCCAAAAATATTCAAAAGTTACTTTAGCGAGTGATTTCTGCAACTTTAATGACCATTTAAAGATTTGATTCTGTTCAAATCTTTTGTACTTTGTACTTTGCTAACCAAGTCACATTCTGTTTCTTAATTTGTCTGAAACTTACATCTTGCAGGTCAACACACCTAGAGTATGTACTCGGCTTGTTTGGGCTATCTCATAGCATATTGATCTAGAAGGTTTGGATCCACTTTTGGCTGATGATCCAGAAGATCCCCTGAATATAATTATATCAAATATACACAAAGTTCTCTTCAACATAGATTCGTCTGCCAGCACAACAAATCGCCTTCAGGATGTTCAAGTAGTTCTTCTATGTGCTCAGAGGTTGGGTCACGTAATGCCCGGGCAGGGCAATTGCTAATAAAAGAACTTGAAGAGTTTAGGAGCAATGCGTTAGCTGATTCAATGAACAAACATCAATGTCGGTTAATACTGCAGCGGATCAAATATGTCTCCAACCACTCGGAAAGCAAGTGAGTAGAACGTCATTCTTTCCTCTTAAATGGTAATGTAGCTCACATGATGCCCAGAACTGATTACCCTGTAATAATGCCTGAGATGAACGGAAAACTCTTCATTGAAGTTGAAACTCAAACTCCTCCAAAACCATTTGGCCTCTAGATTGCTGTTCAGAATCTCTCGTCCGTTTTGGTGATATAATGTGAGAGTTAACCGGAAAGGATTATTGTAGTTTATTTTATTAACTTCCGCAGACGGTGTCCTCTCTGCTCCTCCAGGGGGAAGGTTTTGTGTTTAAATTAGCTTGATCTGCGTAAGCAAATTAGGGGGTTTAGTTGGTTGTAGGATATAATTTATTTGAAAAACTTTATTGGCAAAGCTGTGAAACATTGTTGGATGATACCTCTGTTTTATTCTCTTCTCCAAAGTGGGTTGCGGTTGGTGAAGCAAGAGGAGACTATCCATTTAGCCATCACAAGTTAACCGTTCAGTTTTATGAAGCTGCTGCTCAACATTGGTTCACAAGGCTATTTTAGAGCTTTGGAGGCCTGATCCTAGTGAGCTAGCACTATTGCTGGCTAAACGAGTCGACTCAACTTTACTCAAGGTTCCTCCAAGCAGGGTTATTAAAAGCGCTCGCTTCTCGCTTTAAGCGACGAAGCGAGGCGAGGCGCGGGGGGTACGCTTTTCTGGAAAAAAAGCGACTCACATTAGAAAAGCACACGCTTTTCTCGCTTAAGCGAGAAGCGACACTTTAAGAAAAACGATAAAAAGCTCGCTTAAGCGAGCAGAAGGCTGAAGCTAGGGCTTTTTTAAAAATTTTAGGCAAATAAACATACGCTCCAAAGGCATCTGTTACCAAAACATACGCTGGTCTTCTTCTCCAGCCCAACGAACTCCAGCGACACTGCAACAGACCACTGCTGCTCCAAAATGGGTAAGTTTCTTCTTCTGTTCTTCTTCTTCTTCTTCTTTTAGTCTTCTTCTTCAGTTCTTCTGTTCTTCTTCTTCATGCTCTGTTTTCTGTCTTCTTCTGTTATTCTTCTTCTCTTCTGTTTTTCTTTCAATTTTTTTCTCCAGGTTAAGCGCTCATATTTTGCCCTAAATGACTTCTTTTTGTTCTGTTATTAAAAGTGTTCTTTATGCTCTGTTTTCTTCTGTTATGCTCTCTTTATGCTCTGTTTCTGCTATTAAAAGTGCTGTTTATGCTCTGTTTTCTGTTTAGGGCAGTGAATTAATTGTTATTTTTTTTTTGGTTGTTGATTGTAGTAAATTTAATTTGATTATTCAATGGCATCAAGCCAAAAAAGAGATCCAGCTCGGGCGTATGGAGTTGCAGTTGACAATAATAACTCAAGAGTGCAATGTATCTTTTGTCAAAAAAATTATAACGGTGGAATACATCGTCACAAGAGACATCTAATCGGTGGTTTTAGAGATGTCAAAGAATGTCCAAGTGTTCCGGTTACTGTTAAGAAAGAAATGAGAGATTATGTTGAGAAAAAAAATGAGTTAAAAAATCCAATGAGCCATGGAGCGTCTATGATTATTCTTCTTGATGAAGATAGTCAAATGGATGTGGATGACGATGAAGTCAATGATATAATGAGGCTACCTCCCTCTAAATCTCAAAGAAAGAATTCAACAAGTGGAAGTGGATCATCCACCGCCGGTAGCAATGTGAAAGGTCCTCTTAATCTTTTTTTCTCACAAAAACCAAATGAAAAGAGAAAGGGTGAAGCTGTTGACTTAGAATCTTGTAGGAAGAGTTTGAGGGAGCGTGCTGTAGATGCTTTTGCAAGGTGGATGTATGATGCGGGGCTCCCTTTTAATTGTGTGAATTACACTGATAGTTTTGGGGAATTCATTGAGGTCGTTGGCCAATATGGCCCGGGAATGAAGCCCCTTACCTATCACGAAGTAAGAGTTCCTTGTCTATAAAAGGAGGTGGAAAAGACAGACAAGATTGTCGAGGAGCATAAGGCGCAATGGAAAGTTTATGGTTGTTCCATTATGATGGACAAATGGACTGCAAAAAATGGAAAAATGGTCATTAATGTTTTGGTGAATTCTCCGAGAGGTAGTGTGTTTCTTGAATCTTATGATGCTAGTGACTCCTCAACCAATTCCAATAAAATGTTCAACTTGTTTGAGAAGACAATATTGAAAGTTGGACCGGAAAATGTGGTTCAGGTTGTCACCGATAATGCAAGTGAGAATAAAAAAGCGGGTGACATGTTGAAAGGAGTTTTCCCAAATATTTATTGGACTCCTTGTGCTGCACATTGTATCAACTTGATATTTGGTGACATTTTCAAGTTAGCCCCATATTCTACAGGTGAACAAGCGGTTCTTATTTTCTATTTTGAGTTTTTAACCTTCATGTTAATTGCTTATACTTATTAACTATGAAATTTGACTTCCTACAGTTTTTGCTAAGGCGATCAAGCTACATTCTTACATTAGTCAAAGACCGTTGTTGTTGAACATGATGAGGAGATACACAAAAGAAAGAAATTTGGTGAAACCGGCTAAGACAAGATTCGCAATAGCTCTCTTGACCTTGCATAGCTTTTACCTGCAAAAGCAAAATTTGCGAACCATGTTTTTGTCAACCGAATGGAGTGAGAGTACCTATGCAAAGGAAGCTCTTAGGAAAGAAGTTGCGAGATTTGCTATTAGTCCTGCTTTTCGGAATGACACTGTTCAAGCACTTAAAGTTGGTAATCCTTTGGTTACTGTACTTCGTATGGTGGATGGGGAGAAAAAACCACCAATGGGATACATTTATGAAGCCATGGATAGGGCTAAAGAAGCTATTGAGAATGCATTTGATCATGATAGGAGGAAATATGAGAGAGTGTTTCAAATCATTGATAAAAGGTGGGATGATCATTCATCAACCTTTACATGCAGCAGGGCATATTTTGAACCCCGGATTGTTTTACACAAACAATGAGAACAAGACTTTAGATTTAAACATTTGGAAGGGGTATCATGCATGTGTTGCGAAGTTGGTGCCAGATGAAGCGATGCAAGACAAAATAGGGCAAGTGCTTGGTGTGTATATGCAAGCCGATGGAATTCTTGGATTAGCTTCGGCCATTAGAGGCAGAACCAAATTGGCACCAGGTGAGCAACTTTTTTCAATTGTTTTCCTCTTTAGAGCTATTACTTTCAAGTTATTAACTTCTAAAATAATACTTCTACAGTTGAATGGTGGATGCAATTTGGTTATGAAGTTCCAAACTTGCAACAATTTGCTATTAGAGCTCAAAGCTTAACTTGTAGCTCATCCGGATGCGAGAGAAATTGGAGTGTTTAAATGAACATATGAGAAGCTATATTACATTATTACTAAATTAAAGTTTATCTCAATTGTCCTAAGTACTCCCCTTAGTTACTTTCTACATCTTATTATGCAGATTCATACTAAGAAGAGGAACACGCTTGAGCTAAAGAAACTCAATGATCTCGTGTTCGTAAAATATAATAGAACATTGGCTCGTCGTTACAAAGCTCGCAATATCGTTGATCCAATTTTATTGGATAACATTGATGAAGCAAATGAATGGTTAACCGGAGGCCCCGAAAATCATGAAGAAGAAGAAGTGTTTGAAGGAGAAGGTCTCACTTTTGGTCATGTTGCTATGGCAAGTGGAGTTGAAGTGAATGTTTATGGTTTTAGGGGAAGTACTTTAAGGAGCAAAGAAAGAGTATCTACAAGTACAAGTACAAGTAGAACCCTAATTAATGAAGCCTCCGATGAAGAAGAAGAAGATGATGACCAATATAATAACTCGAACATGATGACACTTCAAGAGTTTGGAGATCTTGTTGAAGAATAGGATGTTGCTCCTTTTGTGGTTTTGTTTTGCATTTGCTTAAGATATTATGACTTTTGAGGATTATTCACTATCTAGTTTTAGTATCTATTATGAAACATTTGCTTAATATGTTATTTTTAATGAGTTCTTAGCCATTTATCTATGCCTATTTTTTTTATATTTTTTATGTGTTAAATTGCGCTTCACAGCAAAAAAGCGCGCGCTTCGCTTCTCGCTTCTGTGAAGCGAGGCCTCGTCGCTTTTTTGCGCTTAACGCTTTCCAAAACACTGCCTCCAAGTGCATATACTTTGACTGGCAGCAGTGATCCTTGCTATGTTGACGCATATCATTTAACTGATCCAAGTGATGGAAGGATTACTTTGCACTTAAAGGACAAGATCTCTACTTTTCTTTATTGTTATAGTTGATCTTCGTTTCTTTTATCTTTGCATCTTTGTAAATTGTAATCATGAAAAAAACATCTCTGGCCGTTAAGGCATGCCATTAACATCTCTTATTATAGCTTTGTTATCCAAAGTCACACAGTGATTAAGTGTATGGGCTGTTATCTTTTTCATATGGTTTTGGACAATTCTTACTGTTTAAGGTAGCTTTTGTTGTGAGTTAAGCCCAAGATCCATTTTCTTAACGTGGTATCAGAGTCGAATCCACTATGCTATTCTGCTATTCATTGTCGGGCCACTCATGTTATGTTACTCTGCGCTCTATATGTCGAGCCCTGGGTGTGCAAGAGATGTTAAAATCGCACACCAGTCAAATGTAGGGTTGTAATCTCCTTGTGCGGTTTTGAATAATTCTCACCACTTGAACTAGTTTTCGGGATTGAGTTAGGCCAAAGGTCCACTTCCTTAACTAGCTTAATGGTTTTTATACAAAATTGGTTGCAACAGTGCCAATGAGAATATGTCTCCATTTTATCCTCTCTTGCTTGTGTAATCATAGTGGTCTGTTATTAATTTTTACCAGTGGCAGCAATCCTATTAAAAATACTCTTGATTTTCTTTTCTAAAGAGGGCAAGCCTATGTTTGGACGAAAAACGGTTGCAAGGTTTTTTCCAAACAATTTTCTTAGTATTCTGTAAATCTTTTTGAGTCTTATGGCACAGAATCTGAAAAACTAGCATATTCCTTTAGTTTTAATCTTGTTACTGGTACCATTTCTGAAACACGTAGAAGCTTTTTAGGACATCTAAAAACTTGTCAATTTTTCTCTATTTAAAAGTTCTGCAAATGGTGTTTAATGTGTTCATGCGAACTAAAACTCTTATGTACATAAGCCCCATGCAGAAGTAGCGAATTTCTGTGTGTTGCCAAAGCGTGGTGTTAAAGTTACATTTCTTCAGCTTTTAGCATAAAATCAGTTTTGGATCTATCAGGTTGTAAAATTTGGTTAAATACAAAATTGTTAAAGGAGTTTAAATAATGAGAGCATAGTGTATCATAATGGGCCATGAGCAGACCGGTTAGTTATGCGTTAATAATATATTTTGATGAAATATGGGTTGCGTTGTTTGGCTGGAACTGTTGCTCAGGTGAATTACTATTTATTCGTAATTCTTGGAAAACTAAGAGGCAGCATCTACTGACATTCATAATTTTGCAGGTTCTAAATTGGACTGAGATAGAACTTAATCGGGTGGATTTACGAGTTGGACTTTCTGGTGGATTATATTTCATGGATGGATCTCCTCAAGCAGTACGCTAGCTGCGCAACCTTAATTCACAGGTTAGACCTTGTCCTGAGACCGTCATGCTTATTTATCAAGTTCAGTTTCCTCCCTCATGGATGTGTTTCTCCTGCCGACAAAAGGCCTACTTTGCTCATTAAACATGTTATATTTGTCCCCATTCTAGATGCATCTTCTCCTCTGACTTTTGTCTCATGACTTTGGTTACTGTCAAACGCTAAGCCCATCAAATAGGTATGGTTGTTCCTTGAGCAGACTTTGGCAGCAGTAGCAGCTAATTGATATTGTAGAGGTATTAACATCATTTTTATCAAAACTGCTTCAACCTCAAGATACCATAACTACAAATACTATTGAATGATTGACATTATTACTGTGTCAAGTGGTGAAAATTACTTACTGCAGATTAACTTTTTGAAAATAAAATAAAAAGACATAATAAAGAAGTGAAAACTAAAAGACTGCAACTGCATAATAAAAGCCTATTGATGATGTGGCATGGTAATACATCAGCAATGTTGACACCTACTGGAGGAAGGTGTTAAATGCTAAACATGGAGGCAAAATTAGTGGTGCACTAGCGCGGTGTCCTTCCCGTATGGCTTGGGACCCTGGAAGCACATACGCAAAGCTATTGGAGACTTAAAAAATAATACCTGTTTTGAAGTGGGTAACGGAGAGAAGATAAGGTTCTGGCATGACTTACTGGATTTGACACAATACACTGAAAGTGGTGTTTCTAGTCTTATTCCTGTTTTTCTCTTACCTAAAGCTATCCTCCTCCCTTCTTCGCGTTCGCGATGGCTGGACCGCGTTCGCATAGGTCTCCAGCCCCTTCTCATCGCGTTCGCATACAGGCCAACGCGTTCGCGTAGGCCAAACTCCTTGGACCCCAGTATTTCCTCCTTCGCGTTCCCACCCCTACTCCCGCGAACGCGATGCCTGTCTAGACCTACTCATCGCGAACGCGACCCCCATGTCGCGAACGCATAGAGTATTTTCACCCAGCGATGTTTAAGTCATAAAAACAGAACAGTGATGGGTTTTATTCAAAAAATACACGAACCCTTTCATCTCCAAAGCTTCTAGGCGATTGTTAGGGCATTTCTTCACCAAAGCTTCTTGGGTAAGTATTGTTTAACTTGTCCCCTTCATTTTCCATCATCATTTATCAAATTTCTAAGCCTAAATCATGTAATCTAGGGTTGAAATTGGGGGAAATGGGTAGGGTTTTGGGGTCAAATTTGAAAACAAATTGTATATTCGGGCTCGTGGGGAAATGGGTGATATGAAATTGGTTCGAACCTCGGGTTTTGACAAAGCGGGCCCGGGGTCGATTTTTGGAATTTTGGGAAGAAAGCTTAGAAAATCATATTTAGGCATTGGGTTTGATTTGTTTAGCTTATATTAATGTTGTAAAGTCGTTATTTCATAGATTTGATTGAGTTGGAGCCGAATTCGAGAGGGAAGGCGGTCGTTGTGGATTGATTTAGCCGTGGAAGTTGAGGTAAGTGTTTGGTCTAACTTTGGCTTGAGGGAATAAGAGTAGAGTCTTAATTGCTAATTGCTATTTGTCGAGTACGGTGTATAGGCATGGTGACGAGTATCTATACACTGGTGTCGAGCATGACCGTGAGTCCTAAATTGCTAAATTATCGAATTCTTAATTGTTGTTTATGAGGACTTGGTTGGAAATCTTTAACACTGAGCCAATAATTGTTGAGACTGAGTATTTATTTAGTTGTGTTAAGTAGAAATTGAATAAGTTTGGTTATAGCTGGATCTCCCTTGCCGGGATAGTTTATTATATTATCTTGTTTCCTTGCCGGGATAGTTTATTATATTATCTTGTTCCCTTGCCGGGATAGTCTATTATATTATCTTGTTCCCTTGCCGGGATTATTTTGTGTATTGTGTTGAAAGAAATGGGATCGAGTGGTACGCCTACCACGTGATGTTATGAAATGGGATCGAGTGGTACGCCACGTGATGTTATGAAATGGGATCGAGTGGTACGCCTACCACGTGATGTTATGAAATGGGATCGAGTGGTACGCCTACCACGTGATGTTATGAAATAGGATCGAGTGGTACGCCTACCACGTGACATGAGGAAATGGGATTGTGTTGCACGCCTGCAACGAGAGAACATTGAACAAGTGAAAGTGGTTTGTTTTCCCTTATTCTGTGTTAGAAGAACTCAGATGTAGCTCCTTCTATTATTCCTGATAATCTGTTTTATCTGCTACCCCGTAAGCATGTTCCCCTCCCAGTTTTTAATTGTTTACTTTCCGCTATTATTTTGTTGTACTTGTATATATATATATATGCACATGTTTATCTGGAAGTCTGGTCTAGCCTCGTCACTACTTCACCGAGGTTAGGCTAGGCACTTACCAGAACATGGGGTCAGTTGTGCTGATGCTACACTCTGTGCATCTTTTTGCACAGATCACAGCACCGGAGCAGCAACTTTTGGACAGCAGTAGGAGCGTTGGGAGTTGACTTCAGTCCAGAGATTTTGAGGTAGCCTTGTTGATGTCCGCATGGCCCAGAGTCTCTTCTATCCTTATTTCGTTTGTTGTCATTGTACCGGAACAAATAGTATTGTATTTTATTCAGACTCTGTTTTTAGTATTCGATAGACGTTCTTGAGTTAGTGACTCCAGTCTTGGGTAGAGGTTGTAATTGAATTTTCGCTCTTATTTTCAGTTCATTTATGCTTAAGACTTCCGCTTTTATATTAATTGTCTCGTTGTCTCAATATTGTCGATGTTTGCCTAAGAATGTATATAGTTAATTGGCTTGCCTAGCTCCTATTAGTAGGCGCCATCACGACTCCTGAGGGTGGGAAATCCGGGTCGTGACAAGTTGGTATCAGAGCACTAGGTTACATAGGTCTCACAACTCACGGACAAACTCGGTAGAGTCTGAGGGATCGGTACGGAGACGTCTGTATTTATCCCAGAGGCTACAACGTTAGGAAAATTTCACTTTTGTTCTTTCTTATCGTGCGATTCCGTTTCTCAAATACTGCTTGTCTTTCTACTCTGTTCTTTCGTAGATGGCGAGAACACGTGCTTCCTCTTCTACCGCGCAGCAGCCCGAGCCCCTGCGAGGGGCAGAGAGCGAGGCCGAGGCTGTGTCAGAGGCCGAGGCAGGGGCAAAGCTCAGCCCCAAGCAGCAGTCCTAGAGGTGGAGCCTCATGTTGATTATGATGAGGAGGTTTCAGCCCCAGCAGCTCCGGTGGCCCCAGTTCAGGTCCCAGAGGGGTTCATAGCCACCTTAGTTCTTCAAGACGCTTTGGTCACATTGGTAGGCTTTGTGGAGAGCGTCATTCGAGCGGGTTTGCTTCCAGGAGTTCAGCCAGCGGTGGTAGGTCAGCCGGGTACAGTGGCTCAGGCCGGGAGTGAGATCACTTTTCTGGAGGCGGCCAATATGGGCCGTAGAGTTGAGAGGTTTCTGCCTCAAGGAGGTGTTCATGGGTTGGGTAAGAGGCCCCGTCATGCAGGCAGATTTAGTGGTACCTCGTCTGGAGGTAGAGGTTCTTATTGTAGAGGCCATCCTCCTAGGCCCTTTCAGTCAGCTCTCCAGGTCACTCATGGTACTTCAGGTGGTCATTCAGGTCGACAGGGTCAGCCTCAGTTTCCCCAGCTGCAGCGTTCGTGTAGATGTTATGAGTGTGGTGAGTATGGTCACAACAGGAGGGTTTGCCCGAGGTTGAGGGGTGCTCAGCCGCAGCAGACGAGGTCTTTCCATGCTTGTGGTGATCCGAGGCACATTGTCAGATATTGCCCTCTAGTTTATGGCAGCTCTCCGCATCAGAGTTCTCGTGCTATGGTTCAAGCACCAGAGGTTCCACAGCCTGCCCAGCCATCTAGGGGTGGTGGCAGAGGTGTTAGAGGTGGAGGTAGAAGTCATAGAGGTGGAGTTCAGGCCGCCAGAGGTAGAGGCCAGCCAGCAGCCAGGCCAGAGGCTGAGTCTTCAGGTGCAGACATTATAGGTACTATTCTGATTTGTGATAGAGATGCTTCCGTGCTAATTGACCCTGGGTCTACGTATTCGTATGTGTCATCCTATTTTGCACCGTACTTGGTTATGCCTAGTGATGCCTTGGGTGTTCCTGTATATGTATCTACACCGGTGGGTAATTCTATAGTGGTCGACCGATTTCATCGTTTCTGTGTGGTAGTGTTTGAGGGTCTTGAGACCCGTGTTGATTTATTACTCTTAGTCATGGTGGATTTCGACGTCATATTAGGGATGGATTGGTTGTCCCCGTATCATGCCATCTTGGATTGCCACGCCAAGACCGTGACCTTGGCTTTACCAGATTTGCCCCGTTTGGAGTGGCGAGGGACCCCAGGTCATGCCACTCGCAGTTTTATCTCATATGTGAAGGCTCGACGCATGGTCGAGAAGGGGTGTTTAGCTTATCTGGCGTATGTTCGCGATTCCAGCGCAGAGGTCCCTTCTATTGATTCTGTTCCTATTGTTCGGGAGTTCCCCGAGGTTTTCCCTTCAGACCTGCCGGGTATGTCGCCCGACAAGGATATTGATTTTTGTATTGATCTGGCTCCGGGCACTCAGCCCATTTCTATCCCGCCGTATCGCATGGCCCCGCCAGAGTTGAAAGAGTTAAAGGTTCAGTTGCAGGATTTGCTGGAGAAGGGTTTCATTAGACCCAATGTTTCTCCTTGGGGTGCGCCGGTGTTATTTGTGAAGAAAAAGGATGGTTCGATGAGGATGTGCATTGATTACCGGCAATTGAACAAAGTGACGATAAAGAACAAGTATCCACTGCCGAGGATTGATGATTTGTTCGACCAGCTTCAGGGTGCGAAGGTGTTTTCAAAGATAGACTTGAGATCTGGCTACCATCAGTTGAGGATTAGGGCATCTGATGTCCCTAAGACAGCATTCCGCACTCGGTACGGGCATTATGAGTTCCTGGTCATGTCGTTTGGGTTGACCAATGCCCCAGCAGCATTCATGGAGTTGATGAACCGAGTGTTCAGGCCATATTTGGACATGTTCGTGATAGTCTTTATTGATGATATTTTGGTGTACTCCCGCAGCCAGGAGGAGCACGAGCAGCACCTTAGGGTGGTTCTTCAGACTCTGAGGGATAGTCAGTTATATGCCAAGTTCTCCAAGTGTGAGTTCTGGCTGAGTTCAGTAGCATTTCTGGGTCACGTTGTATCAGCAGAGGGTATTCAGGTGGACCCGAAGAAGATTGAGGCAGTCAAGAACTGGCCTCGACCAGCATCAGCTACCGAGATTCGGAGTTTCTTGGGGTTAGCAGGCTACTACCGTCGGTTCGTGGAGGGGTTTTCATCTATTGCAGCCCCGATGACCAGATTGACCCAGAAGGGTGCCCAGTTCAGATGGTCAGATGAGTGTGAGGCGAGCTTTCAGAAGCTCAAGACAGCTCTGACTACGGCACCAGTATTGGTTTTGCCCACAGGTTCAGGGCCTTATACAGTCTATTGTGATGCTTCCCGTATTGGGCTTGGTGCAGTATTGATGCAGGATGGCAGAGTCATAGCCTATGCTTCGAGGCAGTTGAAGATCCACGAGAAGAATTATCCGGTTCATGATCTAGAGTTGGCAGCCATTGTTCATGCTTTGAAGATTTGGAGGCATTATCTATATGGTGTGACGTGTGAGGTGTACACTGATCACAAGAGTCTTCAGTACTTGTTCAAGCAAAAGGAGTTGAATTTGAGGCAGAGGAGGTGGTTGGAGTTATTGAAAGATTATGATGTTACTATTTTGTACCACCCGGGGAAGGCCAATGTGGTGGCCGATGCATTGAGTAGGAAGTCCGCCAGCATGGGTAGTCTTGCTTATATTCCGGCCAGCCAGAGACCGCTTGCTTTGGATGTTCAGGCTTTGGCCAATCGATTTGTGAGGTTGGATATCTCTGAGCCTAGCCGAGTGTTAGCTTGCACGGTTGCTCGTTCTTCATTATTGGAGCGTATCCGTGATCGACAGTTTGATGACCCTCCCCATTTGTGTGTCCTATGAGACACAGTGCAGCGTGGAGGTGCCACGAAGGTGACCTTAGATGATGATGATGTTTTGAGATTGCAGGGGCGAGTTTGTGTGCCCACTGTCAATGGGATTCGAGAGTTGATCTTAGCGGAGGCCCATAGTTCTCGGTATTCTATTCACCCGGGTGCCGCGAAGATGTATCAGGACTTGCGGCCGCATTATTGGTGGCGTAGGATGAAGAAGGATATTGTTGCATATGTGGCTCGTTGTTTGAACTGTCAGCAGGTTAAGTACGAGCATCAGAGGCCTGGTGGACTGTTTCAGAGGATTGAGCTTCCCGAGTGGAAGTGGGAGAGGGTTACTATGGATTTTGTTACTGGACTCCCGTTGACCCGGAAGAAGTTTGATGCGATTTGGGTCATTATTGATAGGCTGACCAAGTCAGCATATTTTGTTCCTGTTGCAAGCACTTATTCATCCGAGAGGTTAGCTGAGATCTACATCAGAGAGATTGTTCGCCTTTATGGGGTGCCGGTATCTATCATTTCGGATCGGGGTACGCAGTTTACCTCGTGCTTCTGGAGAGCAGTTTAGCGAGAGTTGGGCACCCAGGTTGAGTTGAGCACAGCATTCCATCCTCAGACGGACGGACAGTCCGAGCGGACTATTCAGATATTGGAGGACATGCTCCGAGCTTGTGTTATTGACTTTGGAGGATCGTGGGATCAGTTCTTGCCTTTAGCGGAGTTTGCCTACAACAACAGCTACCAGTCCAGCATTCAGATGGCCCCTTATGAGGCATTGTATGGTAGGCGGTGTCGACCTCCGGTTAGATGGTTTGAGCCGGGAGAGGCTCGGTTATTGGGTACAGATTTAGTTCAGGAGGCCTTGGATAAGGTCAAGATCATTCAGGATAGGCTTCGTTCGGCTCAGTCGCGGCAAAAGAGTTATGCAGATCGTAAGGCTCGAGATGTAGCTTTCATGGTTGGTGAGCGGGTATTGCTCCGAGTGTCGCCTATGAAGGGCGTGATGAGATTTGGGAAGAAGGGCAAGCTTAGCCCTAGGTTCATTGGTCCATTTGAGATTCTCGACCGTGTGGGAGAGGTGGCTTATAGGCTTGCCTTGCCGCCTAGCTTGTCAGCCGTGCATCCAGTTTTTCATGTGTCCATGCTTCGGAGGTATCACGGCGATCCAGCCCACGTGTTAGATTTCAGCACTATCCAGTTGGACAAGGATCTGTCTTATGAGGAGGAGCCAGTGGCTATTCTAGACCGGCAGGTTTGACAGTTGAGATCGAAGAGTTTTCCTTCAGTATGAGTTCAGTGGAAAGGTCAGCCTCCTAAGGCATCGACCTGGGAATCCGAGTCTGATATGCGGAGCCGTTATCCTCATCTATTTCCCGACTCAGGTACTTCTTTCTTTTGTCCGTTCGAGGACGAACGGTTGTTTTAGAGGTGGAGAATGTGACGACCCAAAGGGTCATCACCTGTTTTCTCTTTCATTCCGTGATTCCGAGGCTTTGAAAACCTCACTTTTACTTGCATCGATTTGCGTGCGCAGTCCGGGCGCGTAGCCGGAAAGCTTAAATATGAATTCTGTGTAAAAATTGATGAATTTTGATATTAATATGATTAAAGTTGACTTTGGTCAACATTTTGGGTAAACGGACCCGGACCCGGACGCGTGATTTGACGGTCCCGGAGGGTCCGTAGAAAAACATGGGA